CGTTGTTACTGTCGCTGTTGTTGGTATGGCTGTTGGCACACTGACTGTGACTGATTCGGTGCGCTGAAGACACGCAATTCTTCATGCATCCCATTTGGGTGGTTAATATGTGGTGCTCAACTTTGGAGACCCCTCCAATGGAACACGTTGGGCTATGGCGTGTCTCATTGATTAGAACTTTGATGAAGGTTGGGAGATTGGGCACGTAAAGTGGAGTTGGGTGAGGTGTGTTGGGAGTGCACATTCAGTTGCAACAGATTGGACTGAAATTTGGGAAAACAAAGGATTGAAGATAATTGAAGGCTCTCAGGGCTATAGTGAGCTCACTGTTCTAATGAACTCTGAATATTTCGAAGTAAGTGAGAGCACTCATACGTATTATTAAACTAACTATCATAGAGGGTCTTTCCGGGAAATCTTTTTTATTTTTATTTGTGACTTTAACCGACTTTGTCCTTCTTAATCAAACCGGCTTTAAACGTTACAAGTATTTGTATTCTATGTTGGAAGAAGGACATTCTCGGCAACTCAGCAGATAAATGCTTCTCATTTTTAGAACTAGAAATGAAAGCAGACAGCTGGCACCTAACTTTAAAACGTTGATTAGCAACCAGACTTAAACAGCGTAGGATTATCGTGGTTTGACAGGATGAAATGGTAGAACTAGAGGTGTCGACGCGACAGTTGTTCAGCTCTGCAGCACACGCGCGCATTTCTTACCTCTAGAGTGCGCTAATTGACAGGAAAATCGAGGGTATCGCGCATCAACTTTTCATGCCATCCAGATTGGGCTGTCGCGTTCCTAGTGCATGATTGGTTAGGTGCCAGCCAATAGAAGTCAGAGGACGTGGGTGGAGTAAAGCGATTTCTTGTTTGTCCAACCCCACACTTTCATTATATTATCACAATCACAGGAACTTAACGACGTTGGGCACCTTCAAGGGGCAACTGAACTCAAGACTTGTATTTGCGTTACCTCGTCACACCTGTTTCGCAAAAATACCTAAAGAAATTAACAATTACATCATTTGAGTTGGATCTATCTTTGTCATTTGAGCCATCCGCAGGATGGAAATATCCTTCTGAGGTGTCGCCTCAACTCTGCAATCGTCATTAGTCGTTGTACTAAATGTAAGTTTCAAATTTGATGTTTGTAAGTGCGCTTTGAAGCATTCATCTTGTATTGATAAAATCAATCCCAACAATTATTCTCTTTCTATTGGCGGTATGCAATGATGATCTCACGCCATTTGCTCCGTGTCACTATCTACAAAAATCAAATAACATTGGTAATTTTTAAGCTTTTAATCACACTCGGCAGTAAAAGCAGCTCTGTAAGCTAATTCTTTCGCGGTTTTTGTGCATAAGGCGCATTTAACCACTTTATATCATATCCGTGTATGGGGTTGGCGATAGCGCTGCCTTTCGATTGGAAAGTTTTTAGTAAAAACGTTCACACAGAGGGCAAAGGACAAGCTCTATGCTGTCATGAAATGAGCCACATTTTTGAAGCCAAAAGTCATCATTACTGTTCCATCGTGAATTTGCCGGAATTTTAGTGTGATTAAATCACAATCGATCCAGTAATTTAGTGTTTCAGGTGCAATGCTTCAAGCATTCCACATTGTAATGAGATTTGGAATGTGTCAACTCTGATGATAGGTAGCAAAACCGCTGCATCGTTTCATGAGTCAGAAGGTTCAAAAGAAGTTTCGCCACCGGTCAGTTAGTTCAAAAATGATTTCTTGCTTGATAAGTCGTAAAATTGGTGTTCAATTCACGCTACTCTACCTTAGCAGTTTGGACAACTGAATTTTGTTAGTCGTTCATATTATAAATTCTCTTCTTCTACTTCCAGCGATGAAGTATGGGCAATTTTTCAGAAGTCATTGTTCCGTAGGTTGATTGATGCCTGTATGAATAGCTTACCTTCAAGAGGTGACTGGAATTGTTTTTTTTTAGATTCACACAATAAGGAGACGATCCGCTGGTTTTTTTACACACTCACTGACAAAATGCTGGTTGATAAGGTTTTTGCACACAAGTGACCATGGCTGCCTTTTGTCTTATTTCTAGAGTGCATTTCTCCTCTCTTGTCGCAATACAAAGTTCACTAACATAATGGCTACAGTCTCGTCTTCTTCGATGTGGATCCTTTTACTCCTTTTTGCTCTCCAATGCGGCGTCGGCTTGTCCGGGTAAGATTCCATCAAACAACAGTAGCAATAATAGTGGCTGAAGTTACTCACGGAAAGGAGTAATACCTACACGGATTTTATCGACACCTCACGCTTATACCTGTGCATATAAACAGGGAGTTTGTGTGAGCACCTGTTTAATTATGCTAAGTGTGACCTATTTCTCATTGCCCATCACAGAAACTGTGTTTGGGTTCACCTTGACAAACATATGAATCACAGACGGGCTTGAAGTATAGTCCCGCGCGTAAACACTTTGACCAAACTGACAAAAGCTAATGAGGCAGCACTTTACGAAGTTTATTTTTGCGCATAATAACGGAGAGGAAGATAAATTTTGTTACCTTTTGATACTGGATGCACTAAAATACCTCGCTCTAGTAATTAGTCGCGTCTTGACGTACTGGAGGTGGGTACATTAAGCGATAAAACTACCTGCAACACCCACCAAATGTCGAGCCTTCTCCGTCTTGAAATAAATTTTGCGTTAGCCTGGAGTCTTGTGTAACTAGACTTGAGTGTGTGACACCTAGGTGGTGCTAGTCAGATGAGGCAACAAAGTGGGGAAGAAGACTCTTTTGCCATAATCAAAGTCATTCTACGAGAAGAAAAACCTTGAGCGCAACCAAAGCTACGTCCTGCTTTTCGACTAAATTAGTCTGTGTCAAACGTAACTGAATTTGCAAAGGTCAAAGTTGTTGGAAAGAGGTCAATACAGCCTTTGCACTTTTTCCTTTTCCGCTGTCTTTATGGTGCCCTACTGGGTGATAGTAAATGCTGTCGAAGTAATCGTGAGCAACTTAGCTCAGATGCTAGTCAATTAAAAATGAGTGCTTGGTGAAATGATTTGTTTAAAGTGGGAAAATCAAGTCCTGTGTGATACAACTCATCGTGGTTTATTGTAGCTCTTTACTTGCAAAACTGAGTCAACACTGCCTCATTTTTCCCATTCGAAAGAGAAGTATACGTTAGTTTGCGAAGTAAGTCTCATCCACCCTCGCCTATTAACAGGGGTTTGGAATCCACTTTTAGTTTATTTGATTTTGTCGCTTTCGCATAAATAGGGATATCCACTGTCAGTCACATAAGGGAAACATGAATAGATAGCTCGTTTATTGTTAAAATATTGATCGAATCCTATTATTATTAATTTTCAAGCGTTTAAACCTGGAAGAAGTGGTACACCAAAATTCCATTCCCTTCTTTTACACTACAAAATGTTCAGAATATTAGGCTGAACCGTTCGACATAAGTAGATGCGGAAGGTTGATGTGATTAGCTGAGAGAGATGGGAAATTTTTCAATCCTGGCACATAATTGGATGGCAGAAAATGGAGTCCCATCCTGTTCGAAATGCACGTACAAGACTTAAAGATGTCCACGCATACTAAGTGGAACCGCAATTAAATTTAAGAATTTTTTGCTTTAGAGGTCCGGAATGGATAGCCGCTGATGCTTGGGATCGTTGTTCAACAGTTTGCGGTCCAGGTCGTCAACACAAGATGTTAATCTGCGTTCAGCACGATCGCTACAACACCACGATGCTCCGACCGGAGAAGTTTTGTGGTCCGCAACCCTCAGAGTGGCCACCTGACTTAATTCGTGAGTGCAACTGGGGCGATTGTGAAAACAAGACCTGGTGGAGAGCTTCAAATTGGTCTGATTGCTCTCAGCCTTGTGGAAACTTGGGCTACTCCACTCGCGATGTCGAATGCGTGATGATTGGAGACGAGGATGAGATCGTCATCAGTCGCGAATTTGAGAACGACTTCTGCGATCCTAAAAGAAGACCCGAGTCACGAGGCTCCTGTAATCGTTTTAACTGTCCTGCAGAATTTCAAGCTCTTGACTGGCAAAAGGTTTGTCTCTTTCGCGTCTGCCTCATGATGCTACAGTATCCCTGACACTCAAGTACAAATGCCATAAAACCGGTTTTGCTGATGCATTTTGTTAAGCTAATAAGTTTGAGAATGCTGAAGATTCGCAAAGCTTCTTATTTTAATTAGGTAAATACTGTATCCTTGATTGCCTCACGATAAACACGAGTTTATTTTATGATGGACAAAAAGACTACCGAAGAGCTTCATTCCAAATGTGAATAAATATGTTTGATATGTCGGTGTGGTTGGTAAAATCTGGCTAACTTTTATGTTTTAAGAATTTAGTTAAGTTTTTGCCTTTTTATAGAACATTAAGACCGCCTTGATTCGGAAAAGTTTTACGAATCGTGCGTCAGGCGAATATCAATTTTGATAAACAAATGAAACTGTTTGTTCCAATGGAAAAATTCTACATTATAGGCTCTTAACACCACACACCTATTTTGTGATTCGACGGGAATAAATCGGGCTCGCATACATGCTGGCTCATCGAAATTTTCATGCTCACACACAAAGCTCACGTAGCTTTTAGTTGAGTTCAACCAAATTGCTGCTTATTGCCAATTCGGGTATAACTTGCCCAATGCCGTGATAAGGCTGTTGGTGACACTTCGGAGCTCCGCATAAGTGTTGAGATTGTTCACAAACTTTTCGGTTGATGAGTTACTTTTACATTTTAATGAAACACGCAATCAGCATGGGTAAATGCTAGATTGCTTTGCATAATTTTGTTCGACAATGCTGCCGCCTAAATTACCGACGTACCGTGCTCTCATTCCATTCACTGGTCGTTCACTTCTGCATGGCTAATTAACTACACTTAAACCGGAAGCTTTCAGAGGTTGGAAACTTAAAAATTTGAGGAGGTGAAATTCACTTGGTCCATCAAGCATTCTAAGCCCATTTACAATCTTCTGCCTCACTATTATTTTTTAGTGTGAACAAAAAGACCCCTGTAAAAGTGGTTTGCAGACGCGTCTGCTGTCGTGTCGTTCGTTAACTGCCAGTGGAGAGTACGTAGAACTGCCCCAAATTGCCTGCTACATGGGTCGCAAACCACCTCCATCAACATGGCGAAGATGCTACATCCCCGAGATCAGCGCTCAGTGTACAAAAAACCCACCGGTCATTGACGAGCTGAAGATGACAGTGGTGCAAATGCGAGCAGTAAGAACAGTGGTGCTTTCCACTTGATTAGGCTCGCATCGCTCGAGAGGGTGTAGTCGTTTGGCTACTGTATCAGTCACTTAGGAGTCAAAAGAACTAGTAGAAAGACTGACGCGTTTACATTTCATTAATGAACCTGAAGAGGATGTCAACCTTGCTATATTTTAAAGTTGTCATCAAACCGAAGGTCTAAATTTCTTGATTCCTAAACTTCACCTATATTCCTTCCTTAACAAAAAAAAACTAAAATTGGTGTCAATTTTCTATCGGATTGGAAGACTTAAGCCATGGCGATGCCTTTCGTTCTGTCAATACACGACTTATAGACTTGATGTCTATCAGCATTCTAATGCTGCCTTATGTTCCATGCGAATGCTTGGAATGTCCGTGCATTTAACTTACTACACAAGGCGGTTGAGGGCAAAAGGAAGAAATCTACGATAGGAAGTAGTTGCGTTTCAGTAATTTGAAAATTACAATTTCAAACTTAAAACTGGAAATAATCCTGGCTAGCCAGTATTTTTTATTTTCACGCCTATGTCACACTGCATTAAAGCAATATTAACTGAAAATGTTAATCCTTAAAGGTTTTTTCAGATCAGGCTTTGTGAGAAGCAACTTTATCAAGCGTAAACAAATAGTTTACTTGAACCCAAGTTTGCGAAATTTCTCTACTTCGACCGGGACATTTGAAACCTTAAACAAAGTACTGGAGTTTCCTTCATCAAAGTATTACGTATCAAAGAGCTTTACTTGTTATTCAGGTACGTAAAATGCGCCTCCGCGTAGGTCAAGAGGCTCACATCTTGCCAAACACCCGATTGTCAATAAAGTGCCCTGTAAAATTTTTCCCCGGTTCAAATCTTATCTGGCGACACCGCAAGCTCGGAAACTTCTCTTATAACACCGGTGGCGATATCAATGAAACAACTCGGCACTTTGTAACCAAATCCGGTAATCTCGTGATTCGACGTTTCTCCAGTTCAGACGAGGGCGAGTGGCGTTGTTACGCTGGCAAAGATGGACCTAGCGCCTCCATCATGCTTCACTACAATCTCCCATCACAGGGTCTGACTGATTGGGAGGCAAGAAATCCAAAACGCAATACAGAGATGCAAAACGAAGATCCATCAGTGATCATGACGCGTCAGAAGCTAGTCCAGTGGGTAGAGGGACCATGGTCTAATTGCTCCGTCCCTTGTGGTGGTCAGGGCATTCAAACGCGAGTAGTTCGCTGCGAACTGCTCGATACCGGCGTCTACCACGTGCTAGAGGATGAAGAGTGCAAACGGCAATTCCTAGTCAAGCCCATGACTCAACGGGTCTGCATCAATCTGCCTAAATGTCCCATGTGGAAGCTTCGCAATGCTGACTACTCAGAGGTATTAAAACCATCCCTTTCATCCATTACATTACCTTTCAAGAACAAATCAAGGAAAAGTCATAGGTGGTAGAGCTTTTGGTCACCACTCCTCAAAATCTAGATCTCATTATTCTTTCTTTCTTCTTTTACTAATTTGTCTTTATTGACTAAGATCTGAAAAAGAGCGCAAAGTACTATAATTTGAGATTTGTGCAGGGTCATTTAATTCACAAGGCAGTTATACCATCGCTAAAAATACATTGCAGTATGCGCTGCATTCAATGTTACCTGTAACTCACGAAAAGGAGTTGTTTATGTCTTTTGTATTATTTAGAATTGCATGCTTAGCAATCATAAAACGCGGCAACAACCGCCAGCAAAAGTAACAATGTAGAGAATAACGGAAAATGTGACATACAAATGCAGCTTCGACCAGAATGATTGATCCTTGAAATAATATAATTAAATAAAACTTTTTGAATTACAATCCGAAGAGGTTAAAGAATTTAAGAAGCAAAATAAAAATACCGTTACTGTGGAGATTATTGCCGCTAACAGACAATACAATTTATCATCTCGACACATTTCCTCGAATTCCGCTCCCATAAAGTGGTTTGATGTAAGCTCCACGATTCCAACCCTTACCACTTGCCCTCTCACCTCACTCCCTTTCACCATCCACCTCTCCCACTTAACCCACTCACATGCGGCCTGCGAGCTTCGGACGATGAAACTGAATGACGACGATGGTCGTGGCATGCAAGGTCGTGTAGTGTGACAATAGTGTGGAGGCTGACACGGTGTCCACTCCTTTCCCCTCTCATCCTCTCTCTCTCCCTCCCTTCCTTTCTTTTAAGGCGCATGTCCTCTCGCCAGCCAATTTCACATAACGAGTTTGCTCGTCACCCTGTGCTAGGGACACTCTCTCCTCACCGGTCAACTGCTTCTCACCGCCTGTGACAACACTTCTCCTATACGCCTCCCATTTGTAGTGCATCGAGTGAATCAAATTCCTTTGTACTTCTTTCATGTCGGCATGTCAACAACTTCATCTTCTACTCGCCACCACATACACATACATACACCCATGCACGCATGCACGTATGCACGCACATGCGCACTCACACGTAACACGGATGCAGATAGAGGTGACAAGTGAGTCATTTTGGCTGATCACTTGTGCATGCTCGTTCATCCATCTATCCACCCCTCCATCCCTCCATCCCTCATCCATCCATCCATCCTTCATCCATTCATCCATCCATCCATTCATCCGTCCGTTCGTCCGTCCATCTGTTTCACGACCAATAAGAGAGGAGACACG